GGAAAGAAGGCAGGGGACTAAAGGGGAAGGAGCCTAGTGGTGGGGCCATTGTCAGTGTAGATTTATCTTATTTTTTCTACTACCTTCATCCTGTAGGTGGTAAAAAATCCCATTATTAGTGTCTACAACTAGGGTTTGTAGCATTAAAAAATATATCCCTGTCTAACTGAAATAGTTACACCAATACTATATCTACATATAAGATTAGAAATATGCTAATAATGCTTAAATATGCATTAAAATATGCAATAAGATGCATGCATTGCTCAGAAGAGTTCTGTCCTTTCATTTCAGACAGTGGATTTCAGGAAAAACAGCTGCACCAATGTGAAGTGACCTGCCTGCAGTCATACATCAAATCAGTGGCAGAAGTGAGAAGAGAACCAAGGTCAGTTGACTTCATCTCCACTAGGCCACTTTGTCTCAGTGATGCTACATAGGTTGTGGGGATTTAGCTTCTGTTGAAAATCTCAAATGAATAGGCTATGGTAGCAGACATTCAACATTCCAAATAGAATATAAGGAAATACAAATTCTTTGCTCCGGTGAACAACGACAGCACAGACCATGCTCAACACCAGATGTCTGCAACAGCCATGATACTTTGGCAGAACAGATAAGAACAAGGAAACCATTTTCCTAAACACCCAGTTCTATAGTTGTCGTGAGAGTGGACCAGAAGGGAGCTTCTCCCACATCGTTATAAGCAACACTATATTCTCTCAAAGTTCCTGTCTCTTTGGTAGGGGGAGGAAGAACTGCTCCCCCTACTGTTTTAACTGCTGTATGTAAAGCAATGAAATGACTAAAGCAGAAAAAAACTCTAGTCCTGCCTATAATGCCTAGCACTCTTGACTGTCCCCAACTTACGGAAATATGAAGACAGAATCAGAAAGCAAGGGCTTGATCCAATTCCAGTTGAACTCAACAGAGATTCTCAACTTCAGTAGGGACTGCTTATGTCCCAGAAATGGCACATGTTGAAAGGCTACTTACTGAATTTCTGTTAATCTGTTAACAGAGTTTTAATATGCGATATTAACAGATTCTATCAGTAGACCCTATTCTGTTTATTAACACCTTATTGGAGTTTTAATATAAAACTGTAATAACTCCTATCAATAAACAGACTATTTTGTCTATGAACACAAGTCTATTAATAGATTGTCTATCAATTGGTATCAATCAATAGCGTATCAAACAACATTAACCTCTAATTAGTAGAACCTGATTATAGAATGCATCAATGATGAAGCTATTAATTCATAAACTCTTTCAGTGTGTGTGTGTGTGTGT